AATAAAATATTAGTAACAGCACTAAAAAATAAAAAGAAAATTATGACTAGTACTTATCTTAGTACCAGTTCCAGTTCAAGATCTTTAATCCTGGTCTCCATTAACTCTTCTTAGTGAAGCACTAGACCTACAAAAGTGAAAAAAACTATTAGTAACAGTACTAAAAAATAACAAAGAAAATTATAACTAGTACTTATCTTAGTACCAGTTCTGGGTTCAAGATCTCTAATCCTAGTCTCTATTAACCCTTTCTGACAAGGCACAAGACCTACAAAGAGAAGAATTATTAGTAACAGCACTAAAAAAATAACAAAAAAAAAAAATTATGACTGGTACTTATCTTAATACCAGTTCTAGTTTAAGATCTCCAATCCCGGTCTCTATTAACCTTTTTCAGTGAAGTACAAGACCTACAAAAAAAAAAGAAAACATTAGTATCAGCATTAAAAAATATCAAAAAAAAGAAAATTATAACTGGTACTTATCTTAGTACAGTTCTGGTTCAAGATCTCCAATTCCAGTTTCTATTAATCCTTTTTGGCAAAGCACAAGATCTATAAAAGAAAAAAAAACTATTAGTAACAGCACTAAAAAAAATAACAAAAAAATTATAACTGATACTTATCTTAGTACCAGTTCTGGGTTCAAGATCATTAATTCTGGTCTCTATTAACCCTTCTTGACAAAGCACAAAACCTACAAAAGAAAAAGAAAATATTAGTAACAGCACTAAAAAAAAATGATAAACCAAAAAAAAGTAATTATTACTTATCTTAGAACCAGTTCTAGGTTCAAAATCTCAATCCTGGTTAGTAAAAAGCAATAAATAAAAAAAAAATCTAAATCAAAACAAAAAAAAAAATCTAAAAAGAAAAAAAATCAAAAAAAAGTTCGAATAAAAAAAGTTTAAAAAAGTTCGAAAAAAAAAAGTTCGAAAAAAAAGTTCGAAAAAAAAATAGTTTAAAAAAAAAGTTTGAAAAAAATTCAAAAAAAAAAGGTTCAAAAAAAAAGTGTACAAAAAAAAAGTGTTCAAAAAAAAGGTTTAAAAAAAAAAGTTTAAAAGTTCGACCAAAAAAAATTAAAAAAAATCGAAAATAAACATGTGTAGTGATATTATTATTTGCTACAATAGATCGTAAACATATATTCATATATGATTAATAATATTCAAAATATTTCGAAATTATTTTTTAAAATTTTTCGAAATTTTTATTGAAATATTATTTTTGAAATATTTTGAAATTTATTGCACATATTTTTGAAATTTTTTTGTAATGCAAATTTTTTCACAATTTTTTGCATCTATAAATTTGCTAATGATATTTAATAACAAACTAGAAGTTAGTTTAGAAATGACTCAAGATTAAATTAATCTTTATTAAGAGTTATAATAAGGTTTATATATATATTTTTTGTTATATATATAGATGAAAAACACATAACTTTATTCAAAATATTTTTATTTTTTTATTTAAACTATATTAATGATATTTTTTTTTTTTTAATACAAAATGATCATATGATATTTTAATTATTACACTGAATTATTATACTTCAATAATATCTGCATAAATCATATAATGCTCTTTGGATAGGATTTAATATTTTTAAGGTAGGTTTTTCTTAATATTTATTATTCAAAGCAATTACTAGTCACAATATCTTTTTCCTTATATTGATTTATTTAATTAAGATTTTGAACCACTAACTACTATTTTTTTCTTTTTTGTACTGACTGCAATATTTCTTTTACCTATTATATAAATTTACTATGTATGCAGTACAGGCATTGCCAATATGGTAAGCTTCTGCAAGCCAATATATTATATATATAAATTGGTAAGATAACAAATTTTATTTCTATATAATGCTATGAATCTATTTTAAGTTATAGCTAACTTTATATTTGTTTAATGAAAATTCTGATGATATTGAGAGAACAATATATTTCTATTTACAATATAGTTTAGAGTGAATTTACAAAAATGAATAACTGAACTTGGTTTACATTCATATTAATTTATTATTTTACTATCACAAATCACTATATACAAAACCCAGATTTTTTATATTCCATTTTAGATGATTTTATCATCAAAATTTTTGTATCAATGAGACGATTTTATCGAGTCCAAAATTGTCAAAATTCCATCACAGAATTTGAGATAATTAAGGATCAGTGTATATATAAACAATCAAACGAGAAATGGGTTGTGATAATGGATTTTAATGAACTTTGGTTTTTTAGAATCGTCTCATTGAAACGAATATTCTAGCGGTAAAATCATCCAAAATAGACTAATAAATCAAAAGCTATTCAATATCAAACATATTTTATATGGTTGCCCGAAATATAGTTCTATACAAGCCATTTTCTCGACATCACATAAAGTTAGGAGTAGCATTTGATTATATAAGTGCATGCTCTTGGGACTGGACTTTACAAACACGCACTTAAAGAACAATAAGAAAAAATGCATTTATAGAGATCATGCTTATATTTAGGCCAGAATTTAAGTGTGAATTTAGAGAGTATGTACTTATAGAAGGTACACTTATAAAGCTTTATTTTAGCAAAATGTCACTCTGCAAAATGTC